GGTAGCAGGAGGGTTAAAACTGAACGATGAGATGTCAAGTCGCAGACTAAGACTAAATCTGTCGTAAATGTTGAAAAACTTGATATAAAGTCCAAACTCAGCTGATGAAAAGGCCGTGCAGGTAACGCGACATTTTCAACCCCCCCGGGAGCACAAACAGTTGCAGCTGTCAGCAGCAAATTGCCTCTAATTACTAAAACACCAAAGTGGGTCGGCCTGCTCGTTTTAGATTCAACTCCTGCTGGATTAGTGTTATTAAAAATAGGAAAGGCAAAAAATATATATATATTAAAACTGCACAGCAAGCCACTAAAGTCAGAATAAAGTTGAATTAGTTGATTTTTGATGCTATAGAGGCAGAGCATTTAAAAATAAACTTTGCATAGAAATAAATGGACTCCCCAGTGTGAATAAAAAAAATAAATTAATAAACAAATAAAAACCTGATTGGACCATCCCGCTACTTTTTTAGATGGAGCATAAAAGAAGAACGGGCAGTGGATGATGAAAGATAATAAAAGGAGGCAGGCAATGGAGAAGCATCAGAATTTGTCCATAACACAAAACAACAAATAACCAAAACTGTGTATTATTTATTTCACTGCTCGGTTCAGTGCATCATCTGGATGTGTGGGTTATAGTTAAAATAAATAAATAGGAAAGTAGTAGGAAGTGTGATCTGCTCGTGAAGATTCTCAGTCATCCAGGTCATGATCAATCCCCCCAAAAAGGTTAAAAAACAAAAATAACTGGTTTTCTATTCTGAAGCTGAAGACATTTCACCTTCTCATCCAGGAGGCTTTATCAAATAAACTGATAAAGCCTCCTGGATGGGAAGCAAAACATCATCAGCTTCAGAATAGAAGTCCAGTTGTTTTTGTTGTTTTTAACCTTTTGTTTGAAGTGAAATCTGGTTTTCAAATTAGTCCTGATGTGGGAGCCTTATCCAAACACAACACATAATAAAGGTCTGACTTTTCACACCTGCTCAGATACAGAAGCTCAAACCCAAGTGGTCCAAACATAAAAATATCGTTGATGTGAGTAAAGAATTTATGTTCTCACAGACATTTTTAATACTAAAGACAATATAATGACCACTAATAATTATGTAAGCAACCAGGCTGCAGCCTTGTTCAACAAGAGCAAGTTTAAAGAGGATTTGACGTGAGAAAAAGTGGAGCTGTTCTTATAAACACAGTGGATAAATCGTTTTTAACAGCAGAAACATGTTTCAGATATTTCCCTCATGGCAACCAATTACAGAATTGAGTAAACTCACTGTTTTACATAATATATTGAATAAAAAAGTAAGCAAAGTCCTGTACACTTGGCTCCACCAGATGACAGAATGTATTGAGTTACAGTTAAATTGCATTTTTGGTGCACCGAAATTCTTACTGGAAACAAAGGTTGCCTCTGCTGGTGAAACTTAGCCAGAGGCTTTAGTTTCCTCTTGACACGCTTCAAAAGTTATGTTGCGTAATCAATGTGATGAGCACAGTGAGAAACACGCAGAACTTATATCAAGTTGGCTAATTCAGCCAAATCTACCAAACATATAAAATAAGCAGAATCCCAGCACACCACGACATTGCGCAATACTACTCTTTCAATACACACCATAGCTTTAGACATTTGCCAAAACAAGGTTTTAAACATTGCTTTGTCTTCTTTTTTGTCATTTAACATTTGCATCCAAGTGTATCTCTTGATGAGCAAATCAATGAACACGATTGCAAGTTTTTCCCTCTGACTGATTCTTATTAGAGAAACCTTGGAAGCTGTGAAGAGTCGAAACGACTTACTGTACACACCTTGTTCCTTTTCAACATAACGTTCCATGTATTTAAACTTTGATAAATAAAAAAAAAAAAAACATCAGTCGTACATAATGTCTAACACCTACAAAGAACAATATTTTTAAACACACCATACTGGAATGTCTATTTCCTTTATTTTTTGTTAATAAGTTATTTATCAAAGTGTGCATGGCTCCTTCAGACTAAGTATGCTGTGATGACTGCTGCAAGGGTCTCAAAACATCTGGAAAGGTTTGACCTAGTCGGCACAGCAGAGCCATGAGCCAACCAAGTGCCACCTGGCCTTTTAGGCAGTTGGCCAGATCACCGAGCACCTGACGGGCTAACATGAGGAGCTGACAGGCAACATCCATCATACGGATGAGGAATCTGCACATCAAATGCTGCTGTCTCTTATTTACACTATAAAGTACTCTTGACTTTACCTGCGATTTAACACGACAAAAGAAAACTTTTAAAGCCTACAAGTAGTGCAAAGCCTTTTTGTAACTTCAAAAAGGGTAAGTAATTTTAAAAAATGTATATTTAATCTCTGACGCACAGAGAAAAGGAAAAGGTGTTTAGGTGTAGCTTTAGATGTGGTCAGTATGCGTCGTACTGGGATATAACTGGGATCCTGCAATGCACTTCTTTTTGGAATCAGTCAAACCTCTATTACACGTTTACAACTGGTTCAAAATGCTGCAGCCCAATTTTTAACTGGTACAGGCCAAACAGTGCCCATTACTCCAGTTCTGTCCTCCCTTCACTGGCTCACAGTTCACTTTCAAATTCATTTAAAAATCCTTCTGTACATTTTTAAATCTCTGAGCAGTTCTGCCCTCTCCTATCTCGCTGATCTGCTGCAGCCATATGTCCCACAACGCTCTCTGAGGTCAGCAGATCAGATGCTTTTATTGGTTCCAGGAACTCGTTTTAAGCTCAGAGGTGACAGGGCTTTCTCTGCTGCAGGTCCAAAACTGTGGAATGAGTTACCACTACATGTCAGACAGGCTCCCTCTCTCACTGTTTTTAAGTCTTGTTTAAAAACTCAATTTTATTCCCAGGCTTTTGACACTGTGTGAGTTGATTATAACTTGTCTGTATTGTATAATGTTAGTCATTTAGTTCTTACCTTTACCTATTTGGATCTATGTAGTTTATCTTGTGTCATTTTCTTGTTTTATTTTTGCTGTACAGCACTTTGGTTGGCCTTGTTGCTGTTTTAAGTACTTTATGAATAAAGTGGTGTAGTATGGTATGGTAAGGCATGGTATGGCATGGTGTGGTATGGTATGGCATGGTGTGGTATGGTATGGGAGCTCACTACCTTCTAAATGTGGGCTCTGAGCATTTAATGCTATAACATCTGGTAAACCCACTTTGGTTTTGGACAAAAGTCAACTGCAGTAGAATTAAAAGTATTTTTATACTATTTGTTATGACATCTAAATATATACACATATGCACTACTTGAGTATGATTTTTGCTAAATTTAAACAAAGCCATTTAAAATATAAGGAATATAAAACAAATCATAAAAAAAGTTATCAACATCAACTGTTTTAAGACTTAGTCTCCAATCTGTGGGGAAAAGTTTTTTTTTTTTTTTTGAAAAACAGTTTTTTTTTTGTTCGTTTGTTAATTTTTTTGAAAGATGCAAGAGATCATTATTGCTGCCAGCAGCACGATGATAATCTTATTAGATTACAAATGCAAATTCTTTCTTTTTAATGACAGTGAAATAAAGCTGAATGACGTGAAAGCCATGTTTTCCTCATTATAAAACGTGTCAAGCTTGAATATAAAAATACTTTAAATGGGAAGAAGCGTCACATATTGTGAAAACTATGTTGCATATTTAAATTGCCTTCACAAAAAAAAAAAAAGACAAACCCATTCATTCAAATATTTTTGAAAATAAATTAAGCTGTACAATGGGTGATGTTCCTTTATTTCCCTACAATTTTGAATATTGCTTAGATGAAAGTATATTTTATTGTAGTTCAAGTTTCACGAACCAACTCTCATAACTTCAAGTGTATGAAACTAATTATTAAACTTCTTATTTGACCAAGGATTTGATTCCAGTTAAATTAGGACAACAAAACGTACCTAGAAAATATTAACAACCTCAGAGTGGAGAATTTTAGAAACAACTCTGGATTGATCACTTGCTAACAAGATGTTACAAGATGTAAGTTTTTGTTGCTCCTATAAAATATGTGACTCTCAGTTCTCTGCCACTGTTGCAGTAATGAGTTATTTTTTGTTCATTTCCATTTCCCAACAGAATATTCCAAAATCCTCAATTTCACTTCATTCAGTTATATTACTATAAAAAAATAAGAATAAAAATGTGTTAAACTGCATTAAAAAGTATTTTCTACCTCACTAGGAGGAATTTAAACTGCATGGGTTGAGACTGAATGGATAAGGAGAGTATATAAAGACATATGTCCACATTTCAAGATTGCCTGACAAATAAACATTTAGTTTAACTTGTACACTCTAAAATGATGTCGTTCTTTCGTCTCCTCTCTTCTGTGGGGGTCACCACAGAGCGAACTCTGGCGAGACATTTAGTGATTGTTTTACACCAGATGCTCTTCCTGATGGGCTAACCACCAAGCTACCATGGCCATATCCTCTGTAACAAGAGTAAAATAATCGATGTACACTTACTTGAAAACTAAAAAAACTTGAAAACTCTTTTCAGTCTTTAAGCCTCAATTAAAAAAAAATTAAATTACACAAGCTGACCTGGCATTTAAAGTAGAAATATCAAGCGATTGATTCGCTAAAGGCTTACAAGCAATGCGAGCAATCACCGGCAGACGTGTCAAGAAAATAACTGATGATGCCGACTGCCACCTTTCGTGTCCTACAATCAGGATCATGCAGTGACATTTTACACATTAAACTCACAGCTTGACCTAATGACAGCTAGTAAATGCTTCTGCCCCAAAAATAATGTACCCTCAAATAGCTATATTTATTCACATACAGCTGAGTGACCATGATATACTCACTCAAAACCACCCTTTAGGCTTCTGATCCCACATGTAGTTAAACAACTGCAGATATTTTTATATTTAAGGCTACACTGAAGTCAGGAGCAGTTTGTCACAAACATCATGTATGAACCAGTCTATACATTAAATATGCATTTGTAAAATAAATATACCTATAATACATTAATAAATTTTAGTGGTTCCATAAGTTGACAACATGTTTAAGTTTTAAATGTCAGTGAAGTTTTGGTCAGAATGCACTGTACTGCAGCTGTCTCTGTTGCTCTGTCTTTAGAGCTTTTAACGTCAAAGCTAATTGTGCAATACGTTAAATAAAAGTTGACTTCCACCATTTTTACACCTTTCAAGATCTACTGTGGACAAAAATACTTTATATCACCCTTAGAGGATGATTTTAGCCTCTTATAGGACTAAGCACCACTTGTTTACTCTAGCACATGCAGCAAACTGACTGATGCACTCAGCTAACAGAGACCCTGTGAAGTTGTTTTTTTTCTGTCAAATACTTAAATCTTCCCTCTAAACAGGCCATATATTAAGAGTAGGGGTAAAATCCATCTTTAGATATACGGCATTGCAAACGTGGACAATTCTGAATTGAATTTCCAAGGTCAAAAAATATTTTTGTTAATGTTAATTAATATAATGTTCTAAAATCAGAATATAATCAGTAGAAATACTGGAAAATGCATGGAGTACACATAATAGCCACCTGCACAAGGCAGCTGAACAAGTTATACAACTGGAATTAATTGGAAGTACTGTATATAAATACTCTTCTTTGAAACTACCAGGTAACACAGGTACATGTGTGGGGGGTGCGGGGCCGGGGGGGGGGGGGGGGGGGGTGGGGGACCAAGTTTATGAAATTGCACCAATAAATATTGTCACGTCGCTGTTTGCTGAATTGTTGTCAAATCCAGCTGTGAGGTGTCCAAAGATATTCTCCATTATCATCCATGGATATTAAATCCACATATAATTTTTGGAACTAATTATTTGCAAAGTCAAGATATAAAAAAAATAAATCTGTACCACAGATACAGAAACAACTGCAGAGTAACTTAACAACAAATTCAATTCAAATCAATTGAATTCAATTCAATTGATAAAAACATCAAGTTACATTCAATCTAATGACGAAACAAAAGTTTTATTTTTTTAATTTTGCTGAAAATAAATCCAATAATAATTTGATTAGAACACGTTTCATTTAAAGGAAGTATGTTACTTTAAAAAAGCGTTAAGTGAGCCCTTTATATGATGCAATGTTTTTCTGTTATCAAAAAATATACATTTCGTACATAAAAAAAAATATATATGAAAAAGTAACAAACAATCCACTTTTATGTTTAAGGTGAAATTATGGCAACACAAATTATTCTGATGTTGACTTTGGTTGGCAACAAGAACAGGAGGCTGGTTGCCTTCACTCTGCAGGTGTAACATATTGATCTGCATATCTCAAGTCCTCAAAGGCAAATTTTCTAATGTACCGGTACATAAAAAAAAAAAACCTAGGGTTATTTCTTTTTTTATTTCCACTTGCAAAATTTACAGTTTAAAGTAACTTTAGAAGTTAAATTAAAATCCTAAAAGTTTAAGTCAGTCTCTTTAGGTCAATCGTACAAATAAATATATGAAGACATGCACACACGAGTAACAGCGGTCTTTATCTACCATTTTCTTACCTCAAATTGAGCACATGACTCTAGCTCAGCTCTCTTGGCCTCAGGCTCGCCAGCGACGGGGGTGCGGAGGGCCTGCAGAAACAGGGCTGCCTTCCTCTTCCTCTCCGCCTGTAGCTGTTTCTCCTTGGACTCCTTAGCTGCCTGGGCCAGCTTCTCTCTGGCTGCAGCTGCCAGACGATCTTCCAGTTTCAGCTTGGCTGAGGGAAATGGAATGAGTGGGCAAACACAAACGTTTAAATTGCCATTACCCTCCATTTTTTATTTGTATCGCAGCTAAACATTCGGTTACTGAATGGGTAGTAAGAGAGGGGAAAGAAAAGAAGTGTTTTATTCTACAAAAAAAGAGTCAAAGAGAAGGGAGAGGAAAGAAACAAAGAAAAATCTCGATGAACAACATATTTTCCCCACTTTCTAATGTGATTACAGGTAATTTTGGGAGTTTTGAACTGCTGTAGATTGTTAGAAAGTGTAACAACTGTCTACATCTTGGGTGATGCATAATTTCGTGCACTTTGGAGTTTACAGAAAAAAGCAGAAACAAACACAAAGGAGGAGGGGGAGGGGAGATCGAGTGACACGCAAAAAAACAGCAGCAGCAAAAGCGTACTGTATTTTTCGGACTATAAGGCGCATTAAGCAAAACAAAACAGTCAGATAAGTCAAAATTAATTCAACTCATTCACAATAACTCTCAACATTGTTCAGTTGTACAACATAAAATTGGTTCGAGGTCAGTAAGCACAACCAGAATTAATACATAAGGCGCACCGGATCATAAGGCTCACTGTCGATTTTTGAGAACATTAAAGGATTTTAAGTGTGCCTTATAGTCAGAAAAATACGGTACATATAAAAGCTAAAAACAAAAACACTTGTTTTTTGTTATGTAACCACGAGGGATCTGCTGTCTCTTAAGTGTGATTTGCTTCAGCAGCTGGCTTATTTTCAACACTTGAGTACAGTGAACAGCCAAGAGGAGGAGAATCCATCTGTACCTCGAACAAACACAATCCTGGCATGCCTCAATCTGGCTACAGTGTTTGCATTTAGCTTAAACTCGATAAACAAATATCTCCATATGAATATACAGATTATGTAGAGAAGGGACTAGAATATTGGCATCAAAAGCTTTTTGGGGACTGTTTGTACTAACCAGTTTGAACAAGCATTAAATACATGAAGTCAAAAGTCACACATTGACCAAAACACACTCTTGGAACTAATAACTTCTATTTAGTGACCATTTAAATTATTAGCTGCCACAATATTCAACTTAAAAATTACATTTATCTCAACAAATGAGAGCCTGTTTAAATCAGTGCTCAGGTAGAGCGCCAAACATTATCCAGACTGAGTTGCTGAGGTTTGCAGAGTTTCTTTTTCCCCATTGTCACACCATATTGAAAGTTAATCACTTTAACTGGGACATCATTCAAAACCTAAAAAAAAGATTTTGCTTACATATCTAGAAATAGAATTAAAAAAAAAAAAAAACACTTGATTAGCTAGAACATGATCAGGTGCTCTCTAAACAACATGCTGCTATTGTGCAGAAAATACAGATGTGCAAAATGGCTGGCATTGCATCAATAACATGTGCACTTTACACATCATTATCGCTTCAGTCTAATAAAACCAAAAAGGAATGTATGCTTCACAGACATATAAGAGTTCATACAAATTGAGAAAGATGCAAGTTGCTCACTTGCAAAACTACCTTTTTTTTATTTTAGATAAGACACCTCCTGATGTTATTCTGACTCATGCTGAAATATTTGTTTTTTGGCTTCCAACGTGAGTGCTTTGTCTAATTTATTTCCAAACATAAATGTTCTAATTATGGGTGTTGTGTTGGTAGAAAAGGTATCAATGAAAGCATAAAGAAAAACAGTCCAAAATAAAACCAACTGAAAGACGAGGCAAACTGAGGCCCCAGTCAACAAACTCAGTATCAGCTCATCAATTGATTTAGTTAGAATGCAAATATTGTATTCACTTGATCAAAAGCCCAAAACATGACATAAATGCCACATCTCAGAGCAACTGTTTCAACTAATTAAAAAGAGCTATTTCAGATACTAAGAAGTATTTTGAGTTATCTCACTAGCAAAATCAAACAAGTAGACCCACTGGGAAATGCTTGCAACTTTAATTTACGCATTTAATGAAAGAAATTGTGTTTAGTGTGTGTGGCTTTTTCAGCCCATCACAGATAAGTGTTTGCTGTCTGTCACTGATCCTTCTGCTATCTGATCAAATCAGCCCTACAGACCGACAGCCACTTTGCTGCACAGCAAAGGCAATTCAGACAGCTTTTTATACGGCTCTTCCTGCCTCTTTCTCTGGCCGCCTGTCGGCTTCAAAAGAGATCATTACGTTCGAAAACTGTTTCAGTGAACCTAAATGAACCTGACAACCCCCTTGATGCTTAAAAGTAGCACATTTGTCTTTGACCGACTGGCCATCTTTTAAAGTTCTAGTTCACAGCTGCTTTTTTAGTCAGAGGGAGATTATGATGTGTTTGCTCTAATCTTCTGGTCTCAGAAGATGATAAATTTGAGTTGCACACGGTCCCCAGGGCATATACAAAGAAGAAAACCTCAACCATGAGTCGGACAAGCACAGAAATAAACACTTTAAGATGTGGATTTTACTCTGCACAGAAGCTACTGAAGACAATACTTTTTAGCTTAAAATACAAACAGTATTAAAGAATATTGCTCTAATCATAATCTTCTTGGTCACTGTTTTTTTTTACTTCAGAAAGTGAGTCATAATTTTAATGAAGGTGAGTTTGAGGTGCATCCATGTACCTGCTCATATTTTACTGATGAATAATTCACTCTGACTTTCCTTATTGGATGAGTTGTACAATCTTGACTTTTAAATTATTTCAACTTCATGTTCAATGGCAAAGAGTGTTTCTTTATAAATGCATTTTTAAAATACTTCCTGATTCTGCTGCTTTGTCCTACAAAAACCTTTTGAATGTGTAGTTTAGTTCAAGTTAAATCATTTTCGGTTTTGACAGTTGTTAGGCCCATAGAAAGTCAAATCAGTGAAGTACGGCTATAAAAACTTGACTCTTTGATAACGATTATTCAATCGTACATAAAATATGCCAAAATTTAAAAAAAAAGGCAAATTTGAGGAAGAAATGAAACATGCAGCTAGGGCTGGACAATCTGAGGAAAAGCAGATATTATTTTGCTACATCACAATACGCGATATGTATCACGATAATTATAAATAACTTCCAGTGTTATTTTAAACTATATAGTATGCAACATGTCACTGATGTACTCTATTCAAACAGACCATTCATGTTTGGTCAAATAAATAAATATAAACGTCAAATAAACCAGCTGTGAAGTTCACAGCTGGTTTATTTGACGTTTTCTTTGGTGTGTGGGGAGACGTTGATATACGGAGTTTACAACATTTTTCAATTTGCAGTGGATGGCTTCTAAGTTGGTGAAATAAATTTGTGGTACTGCAAGCTTTTGTGGCAATGGTTTTACGACACGTTTTGCAAATTACCACATTTTCACTGCCAGATTATTGATCCAGTGCTGTTTCACTTTGGAACTAGTTCATCAGACTCCTCCTCAGTTACGGTCTCATTCACCCGCTCACCTGAAACTCCTGCTGTCGCCATATTCTTTCCCCTATCTCGAAGTCTATATGTGCATGCTCCATGCAGATTGAGGCAGAACATTTTCCACTTGGGAGGTGGCAGGGATTAGTGACACATTCTTAGTGTGTCGGATAAACAGCATTCACAGTGAATTAGATGCAGAAAGTTTATTATTTGAATGGCAATTTATACTCTATGGTCGCGATACTTTTTGCAGAGTAAAAGATACGATTAGTATGAGAGCAAAAGAGGATGGATTTTAAAAAGACAGGATCATTCTTCAATACTTTTTCTCAAGAGTTTTTAGGGAAATTCCGGCACATTTTAAAATTCAGTTTTAAGAGATTTTTTTTTATCAACTTCTCAAATCATATTTTGTTTCTTCACCATTCAGACCGTCTCTGTAAAAAATGCATCCAAACAGATTGTAGAAAACAACAGTTCATATTTGCAAACTCTGAAAAAAGAGATTTGATCTCAGCAAATCCTCATTACTCAGCTGTAGAGTTTAAAAAGCCAAAGAAAAGTGTTTAAACTAGACTGTTCAGCTTTTAAAATGTACCTTGCTTTGCTTCCAACTCTTCCACACTAAGGCTGGGTTTTTTCTCTTCAGGTGCACTGACCAGGGGAGGGTCCTTGTCCATCATCAAAGCTTCACCCATCACAGCTTCCAGCCCTTTCTCGTCCAAAAACTAGAAGGAAAAAGTGCAAGATAAATTAGTTGCAAAGGTGACAAAACTAAATTTTGAAGAATAGGTCTCCTATCCTCCTGATGTCTCCTAGATTGACTAATTTGAACTAGACCTTGTCCTCATCAGAGTCATCATCCAGTCTCACTCTGTTCTTCTCCAGAGGCAGCATGTCATTTTCCTTTGGCTTGATGGCGAAAGAGATGGGGGCAAAAGAGGCTGTGAAAGCACACGGTAGAGGTTAAATAGTCATTTAGACAGACCAAAACGGTTTCAGAACGGAGCAAATTATACGACTCAGACTTGTGCATCTTGTCCTCTTTCTGATTCTTCACTAAATGGAAACAGAAGCTGGGTTAGAGATCAGGGCAAGAAAGAAATAAAGCAAAACAAAAAGGAAGAATTAGGAATGAGGATGTAAAAATAATAACAGGACAGAGAAGAATGGGTAAAAAAAAAAACTACAGAGTATTATGAAATGAAAAACAGTAGATCATAGACAAAGTACAGAAAAAAGGCAGTTGAATCAGTGGGACAAAAAGTATTTCTATTTCATTACCAAATAAATTTTCTCTAGACGAAAGAGGCTGTGTGCCCGATTCCCTGAAGCAATAACCTTAATATAGGACCACAATCCTTGCTGCGGAGGGCTGGATAGTTTACTTGTGTACTTTTCTGACTTCTTATTAGTTTCCCCTAGCTCGCTCCATGATCTGTCGCATCACAATAACGTGTGGGTGTGTGTGTCTCAATTTGCATATATTGTGTGTGTATGTTTATGGCCGCCGCCAGTACAGACGTGAGCAGTCTTGTCTTTCACAGACCTTTGTGGACTGATAATCATCAGATGAAATTGCCAGCATAACTATGAAAGAACTCATAGGCGCTTATGCATAAAAGTCAATTTACAGCTTAAACAGATTAGTTTGTTTGTTTTTTTAAAGAAAACACTTGTTTAATTACCGTAATTTTCACTGTATAAGTGGCAGTTTCTTTGTGTAAATTAGCATGCCTGTAACTTACACAGTGAAGCGACTTATATTTCCCCCCCCCATATTTATAACCAATTTTTGTCTGAGATCTGACGATTTCATTCATTCTGACGTGGAAAATACTGAACACTACCATTTTCAGCTACTAGAGGACTGTCGACTAATGTGGCAAGCCAAGTGTCTCATTAATAAGTAAAAGTGGCTATTAATGAGACACTTGGCTTGCCATACAGGGCCACCTTCATCTCGCTCTGGAACTCCTGGAGCAAATGTCAAATCAGCTGCATTTCACCACGCTGCCCAGGCAAAATGCAGCTGATTTGACCATTAAAGTGAATTTAGTAAGGAAAAGTTCAACTGAGACACACATTTGCTATAATTTCGAGCAAACAAATAATTGGTTTCAGGTGATTATCTTGTTAAATTTCAAAGAAATGCACAGCGAGTCGTCCCTCTGCGTGCTCCCGCTTCTGCGAATCGGCTTTTGAAATGCAGCTGATTTGACCGTCAACATGCATTTATTAAAGAAAAGTTCAACTGAGATACATCATTGCTATAATTGTGAGCAAACAAATGATTGTTTTTAAGTGTTAATCTTGTTAAATTATTGTTAAAAGTTCTTCCGTGCATGCTCCTGCGGCTGCCATTTGACAGCCAATCGATTTTTGGCACAGCCTTGAATAAAAGAAAATTAAATGAGAGCATGTGAAGTACATTTGTTTATACCTTTTGTTAGCTTGTACTCCTCCTCCTTGTCTGTTTGAAGTGTATTGCAGTCATCTGTCCCATCCTGCATGAAATAAAAACATTAAAGAGAATGAGAGAAAATAAGATCAGTTTCTTTGTGCGTAAAATGCTAAGAAGTACATCAGCAACACGTTGCAGAGGCCACACAACATTCATCAAAACTTATTGCATTTTTCCTGAGATGAATCCACGTACAAGTACAGAACTTTGACAAGAGACAGATGGAGCTGAAAATGAGATTTCACTAAAGCCTTCATTTTATTCATGATGCATTGTTAGTTTGAGACGTACATGAGAGGAAGTTTGTTACGAAGGATTTGAAAAGACACTGATAAAAGTTATCAGTCCATCTCTTGTTGATTTGTATTTAAAGGAAACAAAAACGTTTATATGGTTTGGATGTTTGCTATAATGTTGTTCGGCGTGTCGTTTTGAAGTGCTTAACATATTTCTTAGTTTATCGTATTTGTTGGTTTATATCTTAGATCCTTATTACCGTTTCCTTTTACAATTTAAATGTTTGCCGTTGTTGGATGTAACTTCCTGTTTACACAATTTTGTTCCACCTCATGTACCACATGTGATGTGAACAAGAAAGAACCTCGAACCTTGAATGTTTCCACCTTGGGTAATATCTAAAATGTATGGTTCTGAAATGGTAGGATCATTTCTTTGCTCTAGTTATCTAAAATTATTTTTGTTACATTTATTTAATATAATTACTGTATATAAATTATCTGCAAGGTTCTATCCACATTTGAAGTTATTCTACAGAGAAACAAACAGCCACTAAGAAGAAAGACTGGTCATCATAGCCAAATATAAATATTATTTAAAACGTCACATTTAAAAGAAAAAAGATTGATAGATATAGTGAAGTAGATGCAAAAACTAGGGATGCACAATATTATCATATCGGCCAATATTAGTGTTAAAGTTCAATGTTGGACATCGGTCATTCCATCAAAATAACTCACTGATATAAAAAGGTGCTGTTTTTGTTTGACAACCCAGCGACAACGATGTCTGCAGCGGCAGCACAACATGATGACGTCATGCGCACCTACCTGATCTCACAGCGGAGAGGAAAATTCAAAATGTCGGCAGTGTGGAAGTTTTTTTCATTGTTGAGGATGTTGAATTCTGAAGATTTTTGGACTAGGTTGAGCCTCGCTACATCGTCCCCAGTCAGATATTTTTCCAACGTAACCTTACTCGAGTTACAAGCCGTCATTTCCAACATCATTGAGAAGCTAATAGCTGATAGCACTTGGGTGAGCTTAACAGACATTTGGACATCGTGTCAGCACCGTTAGCAACATTAGTCTTACGGAACAATGGATAAGACAAAAACTTTGAACTTAAAAAGGCTGTCCTTCATGCACAGGAGTGAAGAGGATCCCACACTGCAGCTATAGGAACCTGGAACAAGTCTCCACAAGTGAAACAGTACCCCAGGTGACTAATGATAATAACATTTAACAGTTTTCATTTAATGTAAGTTAAAGTGCTATGCATGTCATATGGCTGTTACTGAATATATATATGTCACCAGCTCTTACAGCTGTTACACTTTTTTTTTTTTGTAGCAAATAAGTCTAAATAAGAGGGTTACGTTCTGACAAAGGAAAGTATATAAAATAACAATATCGGTTTTTGGCCAAATAAGTTTTAACATATCGGCATATCGGCCAAAAATCCAATATTGTGCATCCCTAACAAAAATATAACATCCATCCATGATAATAAAATGAGAGAATAGATTGAAAACAAGAATTTTGAATTTGTATTCAACCAGCATTATTATCCTAAGTTAAGCCAACCACACTTGACTGATAAGTCAAATTTATACACCAATACAACATTATTACCTCAGACAGAGACTTTTCTGAAGGAAAAAGTCAGTCAATTTAAGAAAGACATCATCTATGTTTGTAACTCTTTTTAACAAATGATTTAAAATAAATCACATATTCAGTAAAATTGAGATTTCTCTTAATTAAGATTAAGATTAAGACTGGTGTTTTGAACCAGTTTGACATGACTGTCGACGAGAGAGCGGGCGAGCATCGGAGGAGAGGGCGTGCCCCAGAGGCCATCTTAGCACCAACATACAGTGTAACTGGTTTTTCCACTTTGGAGTAAGCTGTTGGGGGAGAACCAGTTTTGTTTCATGTTTCCTCAGACTGATGAAGTCTTCCGAATGGAGGGCGAAACGTCTCAGCACAAAAAAAAGAAAACATCCAGATGACCTGATATTGTTGAATATTAAGATTTGTTATTAAAAAAAAAGTCTTAACTGATTAAACTAATTGATTAATTAAACTGAATTAAATTAAATTAATTGAGCATGCATCAGGATATGCATTTTTAAAACGCTTATTTTTAAATGATTGATTGTTAGTGATAGTTCAGTGATAGCATCTTTACAAGGAGACAGTCCTGACTGCAGCAAGAACAATCTTTAAGAAAGATCCCAGGGTTTAGGTTTTTGAGATTAAATTAATGACATTAAATAAAAACTATCGATCTTTGACATTATAAAACGATATAATAAAATAATAATGCTTAAAACCTATAGAACATAACTACTGGTAATGAATAAAGGTTACTGGGTTGTTTAAATATGTCTTAAAGCAAATTATTCCTGCATATATTTGAAGAATATTAACTGAATTTAATTTTACAAGCTACCTTCTCATCATCTTCACTCTTCACTTTCTTTTATCTACCGGCCAGTCTAATTAGTCGCTTACAAACGTTCTACATTTCCCTGCAGGATCTGTCGTTATTCACATTAACCTATGACCATAATACATGGCTAGTGTTCACAATCAGATAAAGTAAAAAAAAAAAGCCATCTAATATTGCATGAGTTGCTTAGCTTTAACCCAATTAAAAAAAAAAAAAAAAAAAATTGGATGAAAAAGTGGCCATGAAGCTAAGGCCAATGGGAAGGAAAAACACCATCTGATGCGTTTAATTATGGAGAAGGCTTCAAAGGGGAACTGCTTTAAGGGCCCTGCATACTCCATCCGAAGCAGCAAATTCAGCTCTCATTGAAGTAGTTGGGTGATAAAAAACACGTCACAAGGCCCAGGACGAACTTTTTCTCACAGGCATACGCACCAAATATTGTGTGACTGGTCAGAAGTTGGTTGGCGTGTTCGTCAATGCCCTCGAACATTCAGCTGTGCGACTCTTCAAACGCACTAAATTAGTCAACTGGCCAAAAACTCCTGGATGGAGATCGTGCAGAAGTGTATGGAGGAGTCCGTCTGCTGAAAAAGAGTGGCGCTTTCTTCATGATAAATTTGTGGCTCAACGGTGGATGCAGGGACGAGTGGAGACTCTGGTGGGAATCGACCTGTATGGTGCACGGTAATGAAGCAGGATTTCCCAAGAGATCTGTGCCGTGTCTCGTAGAATATGAAAAGTGTGTGAAAACAAACGTGACCGCGAGTCAACAGTTCTGCTTTGGATGGAGTATGCAGGGCCAGAACCCCTGGCCACTGAGAACTCTATAAAACCAAAGCGCAGAAGCAAAGAGGAAGAACACACACTAAACTTATCTGTGAAGACCATGACTGAAAAATGCTCATGATTGCTTTTATATTTTTTGTTTAGCCTTTAAGGCATTTTCAACATTAATTCAGAAATAGATCACATGGTATTACACATATTTATTTTCGCTGATAGGCCCTTGCTTGATTTATTTTTTTTTTTTTTAAATGGTCATATAAAAAATGCTAGGTTAAAAGAAAACCTGCAGTAAAGTTTGTTCTTTTGAAAACATTGGATATTGACACTGGCTACATATGACCCCTCAAATTAAATGTGTCTGAACGTTAAATAAGGACTGCGCAGTATAATGTAAAATCATCATCACAATATCAATAACACAAAAGAATACAATAAATTATGGGCTTTCATATTTCAAGCACCAAGCATTCACGTACTAGATACTAATAATGTCTTTATTTCAACAGACTCTCCCCTGGTTTAGATAAAAGCGATGACAGAAATAAAAGTGAAGTGTAAATAAAATGTGTTTATCGCAATTGATGGTCAGAAAATTAAGCAATAATATGCAAGGGTTTTTTATATCCTGCAACCATACTCAAAATACATCAACACAAAATCACTTTAGATTGCATTTACTTTTGCAACTGCTTAACCAGGCGGTCCTGACCTATGTCTAATAAGTCCTGATCTTGTGTGAAAAGGGTTTCAGACTTTAGACTCCAGGAAAGAGGACTAGTTCCTGGGAACTGACACCTTTACCTCAGCTAACTTAACTCTACCCTCAATGCAGAGAAGGAGACTGCACAGTGAGTTGTTTTTATCCATCTGTATTCATTCCACCTTCTGACAATACCCTTGACATATAATCTATTTTTCTTTCAGTTATTTCCTTCCTTCATTTGAATATTCAGGATCAGGAAATCTCTAATTTTCAGAGTGTCAAGTCCAAGTATATCAGGAACAAAAACGTAGCTAATTTCAAGGTTGACTAAGTGCTGTGAATGATTAGACAACTTTTCTACAATCTCGACAATAATCCGCAGAATTCATTAAAATCCTGTATGAACTTTGGGGAAGACTTTCGCAGTTGCCCTGACATGAACAATGAAAATCCGCAGGCAGGCTCAAACACATTAGAGCTTCAAAAGATGACAGAATGTTTCAAGTTGATGAAATCTGGGAGAGAAGCAGATGAAAGTTTCAACCAAGAATAAAACAATACCTGCAGCAATACTTTCCCTTCCTTTTGCATGAAGTAATTCTTCTTAAACTCATAATATGTATTGAACTGATGCCAAGACTGCAGAAATTCAAACCTGGAGCGAACAAAAAGAAAGGCACAGGATATGCAAGGTGATAAGTTAGCACTTAGAACAGATGAGTCAAAAGGTTGTGCAGAATCTCAGTATTATCTGTAGGCACAAGAGTCCATACAACCAAGATCTGAATGACAGACTCATAAGTAGTAGAAACACTTACCGGGGATCATTCTTGGCACGGACGCTGGCCTCAAACTTTAGACCATTTCTCACAACATACTCAGCCAACTTGTCAATGACTGGCTGGATGTCAGGCGGTGGGGGAATGATGGCTGGTGCTGGTGTGGATACCGGCGCTTCGACCTTTGAGCTGTTTTGAGGATATTTTAAGATGCAATTAAAACTGTAATTACAGCTCAAGTCAGTAATAAAATAGTTTAATTTTGACTGTAATGACAAGCTAATAGTGTCCCAGCAAGGCTACGAGTGACCTGCCTACAGGAATCTATGGAAAATTTGACTAGCCATTGGAAAAATAAGCTCAAGTTGTGCTAAGAGCCATCTACAGTGAGTAAGGTATTACTCATAACCTTTTCGCAGAAAATCACTTACAAAAGATCCAAATTATTCCTTTAAACTTGATCCTATTGCTCAAATATCTTGAAAACATAAACAACTTAAAATTTCTGACAATAAGATTTATGCACGATATTATCGGCATGGTATTAGCCGATATTAGCAATAAAGTTAAATATCGGACATTGGCCACTCCATCAAAACAACTCACCAATATAAAAGGCTCTGTTATATAAAGGCACTGTTTTTATATGACTGATAGAGTGTTGTTATTGTGTTAAGAGTAAATGTCATGAATAAATTTGACATTAGACATAATCCAAGTCGAAGTGTTACATCATTTTCAGCCTCCTTTTTGGCAACTGCATTTGGTAGCAGGCCAAAATGACAAAGACCATGCAGAATAATGTAGTAGTTTAATTCCATAGCAGAGAAAGCTGTGTAGTCTCTGTAAGTAGGTCTAGGGAAAAAATACTGGTATTGGTTATCGGCCAAATAAGATTTAACACACTGGAATATCGGATAACGGCCAAAAATCCAATATCGTGCATCCTTAATTACAACAATCCCAAAGGAAATATCCCTTTATTGTTCTGATTCTTACCTTACTTCTGGTACGTTTACAGCAGCAGCAACAGAACTGGAGACCTGTGAGGCGGCTGTAGGTGGAGCTGCCACTGTGACAGTTTCAGCAGGTGCAGTTGTCCCAACTTGGAGCAAAGCTTCAGAAGAAGGTGGAGCCGAAATGGCAGCTGAAGTCATACTGCTATAATACGAGGTGGCATCTACACCTGGTTGAGGTGGGGCTAAGCAGTATGAACCATCTGGAAGCATGTAGTAGCCATAATAAATTGCTGCAAACAAATGAAGAAATGGTCACGAGTAAAACGTTGGTTCTATGAAATAATCCATATGTTTCACGTTAAAAAAAAAAATCTGACTGAAAAATGGGTTGTATGGATGAATAAACAAAATGCATAAATAGATGAATAGCTTTGCTTCTGAATGAGCACATTAAGTGAGCAATATACTGCACTTAATTTTCATGCCCAAGCAACCAAATAATTACATTAAAAGGAAGGTAGCTTTCAGCTTTTGTTGAGACTACCATCATCGATTTAACCACATGCCCTGGGCTCAAAGTGTGAGGTCTGTCTCCTGTATCAATCCTCTAATAAGTGAATTTGAAATATGGGGAAATTTGATTTATTTGTTTGAATTTTATATGAACTCTCAATGTGTTTATAACAGTAATGCCATGATCTATGAAGTCATTTCAGCCTTATGCATTATGCAGCCTGTGCGTTTTAACCTTGCTAAATAACGTGGGGCAGTCAGGGGAAAAGTCATCGCCGCTGGAAATAGAATCTGTCAAATCAGCCTTGTTTATTGACGAGGCCATGAATAACACAAATGCCACATTTTTGGTCGGTCACTGTTAAAATTAACATTCTCAAAGAAGGCTGGACAAGGACATTGCCCTTCTTAATCCGAATCACTGCGCATAGGAGGTTTTAAGGTATGAGTTAAACCCAAACCTGCAGTTTTTCCTTGTTTTATAAAAAAATGTTTTTGTGTGTGTGTGTGTGCACACTAATACAGAATTTTGAAAAAAGTGTAAAAACTATTGTTTTGCAACGACCATAACAACAAAAACGCATAAATGTGATTACTGGTATTCATGTCAAACTATCCTGTGATTGCATTATGTACCATGCTGTTTTGTTTTTCCCCAGTTGAACAATTTGTTTAGATAAATAAATCATCTGCACCGATTATTTCAATCAATAAAAGAGCAGTGATATACACAAGCATGTTGCCTAATGCTGACAAAGGGTTATCTTGTTGATCACTGGGCTTCTAATACAAAGACCATTCATTAAAAAGGGAAGAGATAGAGGGATGAAATAAATGGTCACTGTCAAAGATGAGACCCAGTGATATGAACACATTACTCACTGAGCCGGCTGACTTTAATGGCACGCTTTTTCTAGTCGAGAAAACAGAGTCAATCCAGGGGCGATGAGGTACAAACTTGTCATGTGACGCATGATGTCATTTATAAAGAATAAAAAATAAATTGTCCTCAATGTTTTTCAAACCAGTTACTCTACAGGATGAATAGAATATCTTTCTATATCTATATTCATCTATTTATCCATTAGGGTCTAGCAATACATCCATTTACATCGATATATCGATTAAATGATTAATGATTCAATTATATTGTGGCAAAACTAAAACATCGATTCATATCATCTTTAAAATACGCTTTTATTTTGAAATTCCCAAGGCACGTCTGTGTGGCCGCCTCAGCAACTTGGCAGACGAGGCAAAAAAAACAAAGAAAATGAAATTCACTCTCCTGCTGGATTTAAATCAACACTGTGGAAATATTTTTGATTCCAACAGAAGGACGGCTCAGCAGACAAACCTCATGCCGTATGCAACAAGTGCCAGTGTGAGTTAAAATACTCGGGAAACACAACAAATTTGGCCGTTCACCTGAAGAAGAAACACGGTATTGATAGCCATGTAATATAAGCTCAACATCTATTTTTGTTTCTCTATAACTGAAATTTAATCAGGGCACTTTTAAGTTAACTGGTTTAAAAAATGCACTAAAACATGAGACATGTGAGACTATACTGAACAGGTCATTTATTTGTATTTTTTCGTTAAGAAAAAAATGTGTTATTTTTTATTTTTTATTTTAATGTCTGGTGCCTGTAATAACAAAAATAAAATGGTTAAATCATATTTGAATTGTTTTTGTAAATTTATTTATATGTAAATGAGATGGACAGTTGATATTGCAATATATCGATCGCAGACTTGTGAATCGAATAGAATCAAAATCGTATTGTGACAGACTTTGATATTGAAAAAATCGTATTGTCATACAAATCAATATAATATTTTATTGTGGTAAAGCTGGTGATTTACACCCCTACTATCTATCTATCTATCTATCTATAAAAACAGGTCTCTCTCAGTGAGACTATCCTGCATTAATAAAGGTTGAATGTCTTTAGCACAGTAAGTTCATTATGATCAAATAAAATTTTGACATATACTAAATCAAGAGCGGGTACAATGCTAATGTTTGAGTAAGAAATTACCCGTGAGTAAGTTACATTATTGAGTAAGTTATTACCTCATAATACTGCCACATTTCAGAAGAAAAACAAATAAAATAAAAAAACAACACTAGCAAACTGATCAGAAGCGCGGCCATATGGACGGTGAAATTATTTCCAAAAAGCTTTTCAAACACATTAAGGTCATCCACAGCCCCATTTGCAAACATCGACAGTTCTAGTTCGACAGCAAAGATGTGCTTAAAGAACACACTTCACAGCTGTGTTTGATGATTACGTTCAAGTAGGATGAGTAAACGCTCTTGGGTCAGCGTGGGCCAACGCCCACCACTAAATGTAAGCAACTACTTCAGACACAGAAATGTAGAAATTAAAACATTTCAACGAATGCGATGCATTGCATAGTCAGGAAGGATATTACAATCTGGACTGGATGTGCACAGTGAACCTTTGCATTAAAAAAAAAAAATACTTTGTTTTACTAATCCTTAAACATGTAAATTATGATGTAGAGGCAAAACAATTAAATGAAGTAGAGCATTGTCTTTGTATAATGTTTCTAAAAGTTCATTATAACACAAGTGAACAGATTTCGTATCCGAGTGGTCAGTTCAGTCGTCCAAAACATTGTTGAAAAGACATTAATACTTTTTGATGGCTTATGTATTGGGCTTCATTTCTATTCTGATACATCTTCCTCATTTCTTGTTTGCACAATATTTATCATGACCAATGATGGTATTGAGTATTCTTCGTTTTAACACTCTCAATCTGAATTAGAGAATAACCTTCATCTATTAAAGTCAACAGCTGTGGTATTATTTATATTTATAGCACAAGGTACATAATATATAAAATTGTGTTTAAAAGCTAATTAAACACATTTCATCTTATTTACCTAGTATTGCATAGTGTACCTTCATGAGGACTACCAAATCAAATTTATGTTTTGAAAAAGTAAAAAGAATAAAGTTCTATTTAATTTGGACCCAACCCATAGTCCAGCTTTGTGTGAGAAGCCTGAGGAGATTCTAGTCAGGTTCTGCAGCTCTCAGAAGGTCTGCTCAGTCCTGGCATATCTTTAAACTTAATAATACCATTCTGGTTAGAGCACAGAGAAGCCCTATGAATTATAAACAACGGTCAGCGTTAGTAGCTCAAGACAATAGGCAGAAAATGGTTCCAAGGTTTAAAACAAAAAAAAAAAATCAAATGCCAGTTTGCTCTTTTTAATTTATTTATGTTTAAATCGACAGCACATGTAGAGAAATCTTTATTTGGCGTTTATATTGTTTTACAGATCAAACAATTGTTGAACTCAAACAGGAGAAAATGTATCTGGCTGGGATAATACCAAGCTAATCAAAAGCAACATCACGTCTATATGACAGCTGTGTTGTTTCTATCTTGGGGGAAAGAAAAATACTCACGGTCAGCTGAGTACTGGGTTACTGTAGTGGGTTTAGGTTCCTCTATGTTCGTGACTGGTGCTGCCATGCCGTTTCTTTCCTTTTGGGCTTTCAGTACAATTGCTGCCAGGGGATGATCTGGATCCATAATCTTTAATGGCTGCAGAATCAAAACAACACATTATTCTATCTTACTAAAGTATTCATTTTGCAAACAAGCTTGCAACGCATATGAATTACAGTAGTCCCTCGTTTATCACGTGGGATCCGTACCCTGTAACCCCGTGATAAGTGAAAAACCGTGACGTAAGAATATTAGTACAAGGAGTAAGTAGTAGTTTATATATGTTTATTTATTTATTTATTTATTTATTAAGGCATTTTAAACACTCTTGCAATATTCTAAACAATGTTTTTTAACTCTGAACGCTCTAAAAGAAGCACAGAATGTCATGATTTCAGCTCCCTGCCTCTTCTGCTCTTTGGCACCTGCAAGTGCTTTTGGCCACGCCCACTTCTCCGCTCTGCACGGTGAACGGCTGATCAGCTGCAGCAGGAAGTTTATCCTGCAGTAAGGGTTGCACAAATGTGCAGCAGGTGCTAAATAATTTTAAACAATTTATTGTAAATAAAAATTTCATACCGATCATGCAGCTCATCTATCAACCAGCCAATTGTGTGTCATGTCCAATCTTATTTTGAAAAACCGCGATAGAGCGAACTGCGAAGTAGCGAGGGACTGCTGAATACAAAATGGAATCATTTTAGAGGAATAATATTAATACAAATATCCAAAGCTCTCTAAAATCAGATACAGTGAGGACAGGATTAGCTCATATTTTACATAGAGTTCTTCAGAAAAAAAAACCTAAAAGATCTTCAGATTTAAAAAAGAAAAAAACAAATCCTTGGACATAAATCCTTGTTAAAAAATGTGTAGCTCAATTGAAAAGATAATTCTTTAACGGAAACACAAGTTTGACAGCTTCTTGCTAAAATAAGCTCATTGTGTTTCTTTAAAAAGACATGATTCTATTCTCTCAGCTCAAGGACTAATAATTATCTTGACAAGTCTTATGAAAGCACTAACAAAAAGCCAACAGCATGATGACGGAAGCAGAATGTAATTATTGCACGTTTGTCTCATAAGCAGATATTGGCAGCAAGGAAAAATAATATAGATGTAAACCCTCTGTTTCAAATAAGAGTTTTAAAAAAAGGAGTAGCCTAAAGACAAACACATTAATAATGTGGATGTAAACAACCGGTTTCAAATTGACTGTTTTGAAAGAGTAGCCTGAAGACATCATCAAATAAAGTCATACATCTTAAACTGGAAAATAGTCATAGATTTGTTTTAACGAGTATCGGCATAAGTTGAATAAAATAATACTCTTAAAGGCAATTTGTACATGCTGTTGACAAACAGAACATTAAAAATTTAAAGCTTCCTTAGCGGTTCTCGATACATCTAATTAATCCAAAATGCAACTTAAAATTATTCCCAAAACAGCAACGCTTTGGAGAAACAAAGCGGAGCAAAATATGTGTTGAGAAATAAATCACAAAACATTTCTACCATGTTGCAAGAGCTGATGAAGACATTTATCTGATTTAAGATGCTCTTGTTATTGTCTGGATTTTTTACTCCGTCTGACTGTAAGCTGCATAAAACCTACGTCAGCCACTGAACTGGATGAAAGAAATGCTGATCCAAAACTGAAAAAATATTTATCTTTTTAGAAAACTTTAGTCTAAAGAACTAGATGAGAAACATTAACTGTGCCAGACTGGTTAGGCCTGACCGTGGGTGGAAAACATTCTAACGTTACCTTTGTAATCTCCTCCAGGCGAGAGCACTTTTTAGGGGCAAAGAGACTCGGATGGAGGTAGCTGCCATCTCCATCATCATCAGAATCGTCTGAATTTGATTCTGCTACAAGACACACATGAAAAATTAAAGAAAGTTCTGTTAATTTAAAGGAAAATATTTATGAATCATTTTAGTGGATTCTATTGTAGCATTTAATATGCTATGTAGTATGAATAATAGTATACCTAAACGTCTTCAACAAATACATTTATGTTTAGGGATGCACAATATTATTGGCGTGGTATCAGTATCAGCCGATATTAGCGTTAAAGTTAAATATCAGACATTGGCCATTCCGTCAAAATAACACAGATATAAAAAGGTACTGGTTTTGTATGACAACCCAGTGACAAGGATGCCTGCAGCGCCAGCACAACGTGATGACATCACATGTGCCTACCTGATCTGATCACGGCGAAGAGGAAGAATTCAAAATGCTGGTGGTGTGGACATTTTTTTTTTGTTGTTGAGGATATAGAATATCAAAGATTTATGGACTACGCTGAGCCTCGCTACATCCTCCCCAGTCAGAGATATTTTTCTGACGTAGCCATACCCGAGTTACAAGCCGTAATTTCCGATGTCATTGAGAAGGTAATGGCCAACAGCACTTGGGTGAGTTTTACCACAGACGTGGACGTTGTGTTAGCCCCGTTAGCACGATTAGTCTTACGGCGCAATGGATAGACAAAAACTTTGAACTCAAAAAGGCTGTCCTTCAGGCACAAGAGTGCAGAGGATCCCACACTGCAGCTAGGAACCTGGATCAAGCCTCCACAACTTAGTGAGACAGCATCGCAGGTGACTAACGCTAATAAATAATATTTAACACTTTTCATTTAATACAAGTTAAAGTGCTATGCATATCATATGGCTGTTACTGAATATTGTCACCAGCTCTACAGCTGTTACACAAGTTTTGTAGCAAATAAGCCTAAATAAGAGGGTTATGCTCTGACAAAGAAAAGTATATAAAAATATCGGTATCGGGTTTTGGCCAAATAAGTTTTAACATATCGGCATATCGGATATCGGCCAAAAATCTAATATCGTGCATCCCTATTTATGTTACAATTACAATACGTAATATATATGACAATGTGTGTTAATCTAAGAGTTTAAAAGCTTTGGATTCTGCAAGAACGTTCTGGAACTCACCCTGCGATTGCTCCTGTTTTTTGTCAGAGGCAAGGTTGTATCGACCTTCCTTCATGGCCCGCAGGATGTGCTTGTAATACGGGTTCAGATAATGATCAAAGCGAAGAAAGTCAAACTGGGAGTTATTGGCCTGCTTCGCTTTCAGCACAATCTCAAACTGAGCCCCCTGCTGGCACACAAATTTGGCTGTCCTCTCAATGATGTTGTGAGTCTTGATGGTTGCTGGCTAAAGAAAAAAAAAATGAGGAAAATGTTATGTAAATGTGGTAACAAATGTCTTTTAAGAAATCATATTCATTTTGAAATATCCCCGTTAACAAAATGTCTGAGGCTCTACAAAAGGAGTGAAAAAAAAAAGAGCTTTAAAAAAAACAGTGATCATTAAGAGTATAAAGTTCTGACAGCTCCTTCAAGCCAAGGTCATAAGCCATTTTGTGTCTGAATGCTTTTTTATCCCTGAAAATCTTTGCTAACTGTGATGACATTATTTAGAGATTAAATATGAGGTGAAAATGTGTGACTCACCAAATGGTCTATAATTCATTCCTTATTTTACACCTTGTGCGCTTTAAATGATTAATAACTTTAATTACCTAGAGAGAGAGAGTGTGGATATCTCCTGAAGAATACACATATCTCATCAAGATAAAAGTCATCATAAATATTTGTCATGACACTGGCTCAAAGGTAGCCAGTTTCCAGCACCAAGAGAGTATTGGTGTGTTTTAAGCTGCCTAGAACTTCTCCTTTTCACAAGAACGCTTTATTTCTGTTCAAGTATATAGTGTTTATAGAAATATATTGCATGATGCGCACAAACAGTACAGTTCTCTTACAATTATAAATCACAAGCTGTGCAGCCAAAGGATAACCTAAAATATATGCTAATACTGTAACCTTGAACTGTGCATTGCAGGGCTTTATTACAAATAGGCAAAGCTGCTTTATTATCTTCAATGAAGCAAAATATCACCCAACAATTTACAGCATTTTTCCATAAATAGTTTTAATGTAATGTTTTGGTCTTAAATCTTACATACAACATTGTTGGCAAGAACCATAGAAACATTTGCTGCGTCTCCTCGTAGTCTTAGCAATTAGCAGAAAACTTCAAACACAGCTGCAGGTGACATTCATGTACATACTGTGTCATCTACAAATGTGCTTTGTAGTGCAAAAGAAGCAGTGGTTTAATATTATATGACAAGGTGAAAAAAATAAAAGTTTGATCAATAATTTAGTTTGTATTAGAGTGCAGACGATGTATTGGTAGGGCCGATATTTTACGCCAATATGGGCATTTGGGGACATATCGTATTGGTGATAAATGGCCCATTGTGCGCCAATATAAGCACTTCTACTTTTCACCTCTAACATGCTGGGAACGAGCCGTATCCTTACTTGCACATGGCATAATTGTACCATGTATCCAGCAGAGGGCGCATGAAGACTATTTTCAAGTCATGGCCATGCTGCACACGACTCACATCACAGCCAAAGCAGGGAGCAACTAAATACTGTGCTGCATATGTTGCTGAACACAGCATGGGAAGTTTATTGTAACTGATCTGTAAAATAAAATAAAAAAAATCCAACAATAATAAATTCTCTTCAATCCTCCAACCCGTTTGTCATTAGCTGCCTCTCATGTTAGCAAGCTAACGTTTGGATAACCTAGCATAGGTTATTGCCTTGTACAACTTTAGCCAGAACAATAAATCTAAAGTAGAAGTAAAATATATATCAATGTGGGTAACATTATCTTTGTGGTCCTCAATGAATTGCATTGTTTGTTTAAAATCTTTACTTCTCTGCACAGAAAAAATTCTAATTAGGCCTTCACCATATGTGACTGTTTAAAAAATGAACAGGGAAGGGCGTTCCTTTGTTTAATTTATATTTTGTAACACACTTGATAACTTTATGGTGAATAGTGAAGGACAGAAAATGTGAATGCACGTTAGGAAGACTGTTTCAAGACTTCAAGCATTAAAACAGCTGTTTACTTAGATTATTTTCTGCCATTGTATCAGTTATCGGCATTAGCCTTCCCCTCCCAATATCGGTATCGGTGATAGTCAAAACTTCCACGTCGGTCGGGCTCTAGTTTTTATTATAGTTTATTATAATAAGGTAATAGTGGCTTGATGCACATGAACTACTCATGTGTAAAATTAAAGTGGCATGAATTGTTTAGAACATTTATGCTCCCCTAAGCATTTAGCATAATACATAGAAAGAATAGTTAAAATGTTGCAAAATGTCATTCAACCATTCATTTAGCTAAGTGAAGTATTTTGTTCACATAACTGATCAGTTCTACATGACAAATCTCTACAAAAGGCAACTAGACATGAGACAGAAATTAATCAAAGCTCCAGATTTTTTTCAAACATCTAACTCTTTAATAATAATAATAATAATAATGTCATCACAATGTCAGCACTGTATGTTTCCATACAATGGCGAAATTAGTCTCTGCATTTAACCCATCCACCACCAGGTGGTGCAGTGGGCAGCTATTGAAAGCGCCCGGGGGACATTTTTGGGGATTAGACGTGCTGCCCAGAGACGCCACGTGATGTGCAGTGACTGGGGATCGAACCTGGGACTCTCGGGTCCCAAGCCGGCTGCCCTGCCTCTACACCATCTCGGATCAATGTACATTTATTAATTTGGTGGTGAATAAAAATATATAGATGTCTCTCGCAATCTATTATGTCAGCTATGAATAAATGGACAAATTGACAATTTCACAAGAAAACAAAAAAAAAAAAAAAAAAAGAGCTTAAGTTTAGGCCATAAGTGATATTTTATATCCGAGCATTTGTGTAAGATTCCATTCACATGCAATGACACAGAGAGCCTCAAGTGATTGACTAGTGGGGAGTGAGAAAAGAAAATCTCAGAAATGTGAGAAATGCATCCCAAAGAAATGTATAACAGTATTAAAAGCTGCAGCCATGTTGTCTGATGATGTGCACACACACACATACTATAACCAAATTAAATGCTTTTCTTCCCATGCATATACAATTAGCAGCTGTAGGTTACTGAGGTGCTTTTATCGGCATCAGACGGAATAAAATAACATCAATTTAAATATTTCAGACAAGATATACACTTTTTTTAATTTGAATGTTGTGTCAACATGAACTACAATCTACTGCAGGTTTTCTACAGTATAATTCAAGGTCTATGTGCTGGCGTGTAGCAGAGTGACAGACTATCCAGTCTTCGACAGTAATTTTCCACTAAGCATAAAGGAACAGATGTTTCATTTCATGTAGCAAGGACTTCAGCAGCTATTGATTAGTCTGTCACCCAGACACCACAAGACAAGTCGTTGCTGGAACTGCCAGAACAATTTTCTGTATTTACTCATTTTTTACTGTGAAATACAGTAAAAAAGGAAAACACTATAGAAAAAAAAAACTTAAGCTAGATTTAATAAAGCAAAAGGTGAAAGTATCAGTAAAGCAATGCTGTTCTTTATGTTTTAGCTAGAAACAAGTTATTAAACCCTAAATGTCAGAGTGAATTGCTTCTCATTCTATAAGCAACTCATCATACATAAAATGAGAATGCCAGAATGCTCAACAATACTTTCAAATATGGATCAGCTACCACTGAATCCAAACATTAAACTCGGTGAGAAATTTGGGATGTGCTGAAGAACTCGACTGTGACACTCGTATGATGAAAAATATGAATGCAGCTATAGACAAAAATAAATGCTGTCACTAAGGAAGTACAATCCAAAGGAAAAGAGCTAATCTGGTCCACATCAATGCTTTTTATGAATTAGACAATTTTTGTTTCATGTCAACCAAGTAATCTGGTTTGGTTTTAATCATAGCTACATTTTGAAATGGTTAGTTCGCTAAAACCTAATTAGTCAAAACAGGTTTAACTTTAGTTTGTCAATACCGATATGTAATTAGGTACATTACCCTTAGTTCTTTAAATACACATATATATTTTTTTTTTTGCTCATTTAATACCTACATGATTCACACATTAAAAACTCTTAATGTATACTGTAATAATTATTGGTGTTCATGAATATTTTTGTTAATAAATTGAATTTGCAATGATTCCAAAATATGACTTGTTTGTCAAACACCAAGTTAAAAGTGACGTCAACTTCTGAAAGGCAGCAGAAACTCAAGCACTTACCAGTTCCACATCAGGTGGGATATCAAGTCCTGCGGGAGCAACAAATGGTTCTTCATTCTCCTCTGGCTCAGCCTCCTCTGTGTGTGTAAAATTACAATAAAATAAAATTAAACAGTTAGTGTAATTCTCAGTAATCTACTTAAATAAAATTAAATATACCCTACTGGATATCTACATGGTGGGCCAGTAAAATTAAGGGCACTGAATTCCTTAAATATATTTTAAATAAATAAAACTCCTCTTCGACTCTTCCCTTCACTCCACAAACGTATTACGGCAAAATACTACTTTAGCCTTTACGTTCATCTTGATACCAACATGGAGGTCATGTGGAGACGAGATTAAATTTTTAATGTAGTACTGCAGGGAGTTTGCAGAGCGATAAAGGAGACCTTTAATTTAATACAAAGCAGTAAAACTCAAACTTTCTGCCAGGCCTGAGGATTTCATTCGGATGTAACGTGGGGAATGTCTCATGGGTGTAAATTTTAAAATAGCTTTTGGCAAGGCTCAGAACCATTGAGTTTTCACTCCATCTTAAGTCGGATCTAAAATCAAATTTAAAGAACATAAAAAAAGCTTTACAAACAGAACCACTTTTTTCCCCCATCGTGACTTCCTTTTTAATAATGTTTTATAAAAAATAAAATTATAATATCCCTTCAACAATCTCCCAGTCAACAATCACGACATCGGTAATTAACACTCCGCTCTCTTCTTCTTTCCGCGCCTAAAAAATGCCTACCACAAGGCAGACATCTTGCTGGTGTATAATAAATTGTATTACTTTATTAAAATGACTGAATAGTGAAAACACAGGATTTTACATGGAGGCTCACAGTAACACATTCGTCATGTTTAGACAGTATATATAAATTATACTAAAATTAACCTTCTGGTGTATTTAGCTTTTACTCTGGGGGAAATAAAAGTGGTAATGATCTGATTTATACTATATCTGCTTCCGTCAGCCTAAAATACATACATCAGGACATTAATTTGCATTGTTCTTGGAAGTTTCTTAAATTATTTGAATAAATCTGCATCTGTGATAATGTCAAAGTCGTATTTTAAAATGACCAGTGAGACCTGAACCATAAGGACTTATTCCCCAAAAGCAAATTCAAGCATCAGCACCGTCGGCAGACATTTAAATGCCTCTGTTCTTCTAATTCCCTGGAGAAAAAGAAATCCATTAAATCTGCTTGCTTGTCAAGCGATCAGAAATGCTTCCGGCAATCTCTGCATCACATATTTCAAGTTGCAGAAATGCATGGATGTGTACTGCTTTGACAATCTTTGAGAAGGTCTTTGAGCTGGAGGACTTGAGAATTGTGAGGCCATAAAGACAAGCTTGAGTGCAGACTAGATTTCAGCATTTATGTTCATACTTAAGTTAAAGCTCTGATTCGATGGTTTAAGTACTGGGGAATACATGTTAATACGTGTCCTTACAATCTGGACTAAAGATGATGGTAATAGTGAGAGATGATCTTCTGAAGTAGTACTCCAGAGGAATACTTTATGAATACGCTGACATTCACTTGTGCTCTGCACACACAAAGTGATTTCAGTCGCTTCTCCAAAGACCTACAACTGCAGAAGTCCACTTGGACATGAAATTTCAGCCACAATCTTGGCATGGGCAGGAAACCCATTAGCACCAGAGGCAAAATAATAAAATGATTTTTTTTTTCATTTTGACTGTTTTTGATTGTGCAAATATGTTTTTCTAGTTAGCTCCTAAGTTAAAGTGATGTGTGCTGCTTTCCTTGATTTGCCTCATCCTTTAAATCCGCACCACATAGCTGTTTCTCACCCTGCTCCTTTTTGGCATCCTCCTCCTCTGTAGGTTGTGAGGGATCATAGTAGTCAGCGCTGTATTTGAAGGCCACTGCATTGTAAGTGCCTTCATCAGCCAGAGCTTCACTTAGACGCTTGTACTCCTCCTCTGTAAAAAAATTAAATAAAGTAAAACACAGACACACACGCACATGTCCCATATGCATTGGTTTGCAGTAACATAAACCTGCCCAAGTCACATAAAATTACTCCTTAATGCTTTTTTCTTTACATTTTTCGACAAAAATATATGATGTCAGAACTGGCAGGTTAAATCCTATTACTTTCAACCTGGCACAACTGAACCGCAGAGTCCTATTAACAAGTAGACAAAGCAGCAGGGAGCTCAACTGGCGTCTACACAGCTTTTCACAGGAAACTAATAGATCACATTACATGCTGCTGAATAAAAAATAAAAGGTTGAACCTCTCCTAGTTTGTGCTTATTATTGACAACGTGTTTGTAGCATCTGAAATGGATAAACAAAAACAAACTTATAAAATGTCTTTAACACATTTCACGGATCTGCTCTCTGAATCGATATTTTCTGTTGTATGCCTACATCAAAAGTTCAATTTTAGATGTTTTGAGTGGAGCTGCAGCTTCTTATCAGTATAAGCAGAGGTACTGTTGCTCATATGACGACCTCAGTTGATTTAAAATATCATAATTTTCACAAATATTTATGCTGCAGCATCACAACAACAAGCCCATGAGTCTGTTTAATAAGCTTAAACATGTAAAATAGGAATACTTTCAGTGAGTCATTGCAAGCTCCTAAATTTTCAACAACATAATACAAACTTTGATGTTATGCTGCGAGAAAAACACTAGTATAGCAACATGTCTACCTAATGCAGTGTCCCATTTCAAGTAAATAAATACTGCCTGGGCACCTACAGTTGCTTTGTTCTGGAACAAATATTTGAAGCTTTTAAGCCTGCTGTGTATTCCTTGAGTTAACACGTTTTATAAGAGAAACATAACTCAATTGGAAAGTACTGCTAAGAGCCACAGGAGACTGTTCATTGGGAAAATACATCTCAGGCAAAAAAAACGAGAAAGTAAACAAAGCGTAGACATCAGCAGCTGAAAATCAACTTGGCAGCACTCTGTTAGGAGCCTAAGTCAGGCCAGTCCAGAAAGCTGCAAGCAAATGTTGATTTCACTCACATCACAGGATAAAAATTGCACCCTGCAGCAGGAGCCATTTAGCTTAGACTTGCAGAGTACAACATGCTGTTGGGTCGGATTGCTTTCACCACACAGAGAAAATAACACTTCAGCATTTATCACTGAAATGAGACCAATGTCTTAGGTCTCTGTCCAGAAATATGTCTTATACCGTATGTAGTGTTTGAAGAGGGCAAAATGTCTTGTTTTGAATGGAAAATAAGGTGCAGAGTCTGATATTCTCGTCTAGCAGAAAAGCGTCAACGTATTTTTTTAAAAAAACTAAGTATTTTAGCGATATTTATGATTGTAGATTAAGAGCAATAATCTACAGTGACTAATTATAATAATTACTGTTAATGGTTTCAACATAAATTTAAAGCACACATTTGATTCCAGTAATGAAGTACCTTTTTTTAAAATTGAAATAATCAAAAAAATAAAATAAAATAAATTCTTGTCATGCTTACTGCACTTTCAGTGAACAGAATGGTGATGGGCTGAGTGAATGGGGTCAAGCCTCTAAATTCAAGGGCAAAACAGCCTGAAGGGAAGAGTCTTCTGCAGTGTGTGTAATGCAAGCTATTAGCTGACTTATACATTCCTGTCAGTTTAGGAATAATACGCCATGTTTCACCTAAAATAACAGTGATTTAAATCAATTACAGCCATTAAGTGTGTCTATCAGATGTGTACTTTGTCATCAAAACAACCAGTTTCATTGCAATGTAAAACGTCTGAGATGAAAGCAAACAGATTTGTGAAAGTCAATAATGATTTAAACAGATTCATTCAGACCCAAAGCCGATTCATTTCATAGACAAACTAAAACAGCATTAGAAATAGTCATTGTAGAAAACAGGAATTTTAGAGCATATACTGTGCAACGTGCAGAGAAAGGGAGATTTTCTTGACGTGCAATTCCAGACTCTGAAAAAGAGTCTTTGGAAATGTGTTGCAACGGAGGGGAAAGTGGTTTTTAATAGATAAATATGAAATAACAATAGGCAAGCAACGTTAATGGTGAAAATTTAACAACCAACTAAAATCAATAAGCAACTTTTAAACTAATGAGCAGACAGAAAAGGTGCTATTTTTAAGATCATATTTACTACTTTGAAAAAAATAAAGTGATAATTGATCATATCATATTCAATATATTAATTAGTATTTTTATTTTATGTCTTGTCATTAGGGCTGGGCGATATGGACTAAAATTAATATTTTGATCATTTTAAGATAAATCGCGATATACGATATTTATCTCAATATTTTTTCTTTCCATAAAGTAATAAAATATAAGCTTTGCCTCAAATGTCACACAGGCACATTTATTAGCAAACAGATGTAACTCTACAAAATAAATGTCTAAAAAAAAAACTATTTACATATATTAAATAATCCTCCCCAGCTGTGTCACCTTCATGATGTTAGCGTGTGTGAAGCAGCAGTGGGGGGCTGTGTTTGTATTCAGTGAGGGAGAAGGAGGGTCCGTGTGAAGTTAGCGGCGCAGACGAGCAGTAAACAAAGTACACGGGTTTTAAAGTCTTACAGTGAGAGGTAGCACAACATTAATAAACCAGTGGCTTATCATATCGCTACACGTGACACGGTTCTTAGCGGCTAACAAGACGACTAAAGTTAGCCGTCAAACACACTCTTCCTACTCTACTTAGTTTTAAATGGTGAAATGAAATAGCTGCTCTGAGAATGCTATGTGCCGCCTGCCCCCACCTGGAGAAGCAGGAAACACGAGTAGCAGGTGAGGGGCTGGGTTTCAGTGAGGGAGAGGAGGGGCTACGTGGGAGAAAGAGAAGACAGCAGGCGGATTTTCAAGTATAAGATTATATTGTTTATATAAATATAGTCTCATTTTATATGGCAAATGCAGTTATAGCACCCAGCCCTACTTGTCATATTTAATTATTTACTTATTTTTTACTTTTGTTTTTTATGGTCTTATGTTTGGTATCATCTTTTTACTATTGCTTGTGTGCAGCACTTTGGTGCAAAGACAATTGGTTAAAATTGTGTTATAAACACATTGAATTTGATAATTATGCACATTTTGTGTCGTTTGGCGCGGCTAATGTACCTGATTACATGTCAGTATTGACAAAGCAGCCGCGTGAGACAAACAAAACAAAAACAAAAAGTTAGTTCTTAGGGATCATGATATTATTAAGATAATTTGCAAGTAGTGTCTTAAATGTAAGTGAGCATCCGAGTACACTTTGGACTCTTATAGAGAGCAGAAAGCTGATCGTGACTCATCGCGTCAATAACAAAAATCTAAATTGGTTGTTTCTGTTTTTGACCAATTCCTCACTAGTTTATTCTTGATTTAACAAGAGCACGTTTGTGATGTGCCAAGAACCTCAGCACTTCTGCAAAGAACCGGTTGTTATGCTAACAGATGGCGAGATGGGGTAGAGGCAGGGCAGCCAACTGGGGACCAGAAAGTCATGGTTCGACTCCCAGCCATTCCCACATGTTGTGGTGCCTCTGAGCAAGACACCTAATCTGCAATTGCGCCCTGGGCGCTTACATAGCTGCCACCTGCTCCACCTAGGTGAATCTCAGGTGTGATGGGTTAAATGTAGAGACCTAATTTCGCCATTGTATGGAAACATATGATGAAAATCTCAGATTCCCCTTAGTAGTATTACTAGTTCAGCTTTGAACCTGAGCTAAGTTGAAGATGAAAAACAGCAGTGGCACAGTACTATATCTCACAAAAAAACTTTTTTTCTTCTTTGAATAAATTTTGCTTAAATAAATTGGATTTTTTTTTTTTTTACATAATTTTATGATAATTTTAAATCAGGTTAGAAATTTACATATTAGCTCTTGTGTCTTTCAGGGGACATTCTGAAAACTTTAATCCACCCTACTTGCTCAAACTAGAAGGGCTGTGAGGCAGTTGTAATTTTTTTGATTGGTATGCTTTAAATTTGCCAAAAGGCCGGCACCTTGCTGGTGTATATAACTGCAAATAATTAACAGAAGCAAATGTGATCTCCAAACTCTATTTTAGGCAGTTCTGCAAAAGTATATTCAGTAACAAAATATAATTCACCCTGGTCTTTAGATGATGCATATGTTTAGGGCTTTTGCGACCACAAACCTAAAGGCTTTATCAGCCTGTTCAAGCAAAAACTGGGAATATTGAATAAAAGTTTCACACAGACTTCAATCAGACATGCACTTTAAAGTAACAGCAATTCAACATTTCTGCAAGACTGAACAAAGAATCAAGTATCTCAAAATTCTCATGAATCAGTTTTCTAACAATATTACATTTTATTAGAATTCATATTGCTGTGACGTCTATAGTAGTTGGGTTAAATCCACAAAGTGTGGATGCAGCTAAATATGTCGATTCATTTTCCTGTTTAAGCAGTTTTATACTTAAATTGTGCACTACTATACCAGTGCAGCTATTAACAGTTGTGAAAACAGTTAATCTTCAACTTTATGTGAAAATGCAATCTCCACCACTGTGGCAGTTGTTCCAAGACTATCTTTACCACTAAATAAAACATTTTAAAGATATCAAAAACAGTTTTGTTTACCTTGTCTTGCCTCCTCGTCCAGCAGGTTGGTGTGTAAAGCTAGGTACCGCTCCTCGTCACACAGCGCCTCAATCCTGGCCTCTTCCTCCGACAGCTGATAGGATGTATTCCATGACCCGCTATCATACTCTGAAAGGTCATGTAAGTGACCACGTCCATCGTATCTGTTGAATGATAAACAGGATTAGAGAGAAAGAAGTTGACAAAACATTTTATACAAACACAGATCTACTTACTAAGTTAGTGGGATCTAAAAAGCCATATTTACCACTTCAAAATAGGTCTACTATAGGTCATGAAAGAGTATAATTGCAAAACCTGAAACAATTAATTAATACTTTAACTACATAATGTCCAACTTAAATCTGTGGGCATAATAATGCATAGCAATCTTTCTGCTTATATTTTCTTTCTGTGCATGTTGTACAATTCAACAACACAAAAAAAATAAAAAAAATAAAAAATAAATAAATAAAAGACAAAGCAACTCGCCTCTTACCTTACAGGGTTTTATTTCCCCCCCTGTAACACTCATCAATACTTCTAAATCTGCAAAAAAATGTTACATTCACACAAACCCGAGCACATAAATACCTATCCGTAAGAACCCAAATGGATGATTATTTCCAGTGTTCGTCCCTCTATGGCATCTCTCTGTTGTAGATTCTTCATGAAGGCAAAGAAATGGGGTGCTGTGGTTGACATTCAAGGTTCGGAAGGACCCCTAAGCTTAACTTGCTGGGGGAAAACGGGTTATGTGATAAAGACATACATATAAATTGTGTACAAAGAAAGCATAGGTTGGGCCACTGCAGACCAAGGTGGTTCAATAAAGTAAATGCATATAGAACATTGAAAATATTATCTAAAAATTCAAAATATATGATTCTACCTAGCAAAACATTTTGAAAACAAAACTGAAAATTATTTGGATATTTCGAGACATATTACAATTTCTCCATACACGGAAATATCTTGAAACACCTTGACTGCAGGGAATTTAGACCACATTTGAATTTTCTCTGGCTTTGTGGACATCAACAAAAAAAAAAAAAACTAAAACCCCAGTAATGCAGCAAAGTATTTGCTTAGATTTTAAAGCTAGCCTAAGTGTGAACAGAACAGAAAAGCTTCATATCATTTTGTTCAATTGTAAATAAATAAATAGTGTCCAGAGGAAATTCTATTAACATGCCAACATGCAAAGTCTAGCTTGACTTACTACAGTAGTAAAAAATAAAATATAAATATATGTTATAAGTTGACTTGTTATGCATAAACTAAACTATAAGGGAAGCACAAATATATAACAGCCCTGTAAGCTAAATGATATGTTTTTATAGCTCAATGTTATTGTTGACTCTGGCAGGCCTGTCATGGCTAACGTTAGCAAAGTGGTATTTGCATGTTAGCATGTTAACGTAAAAACATAAAATAACTTTTTGCTGTAAGTTCAAAACATTAAAGTCAAGTTAGCAGGCAAGAAATAAAACATTCTTCACACGTTTCAGGTCTTCTCGAGCTTCTGCAATTAAAACTTCCGAGTTGTCCCTGAGGCTAACGGATAGAAACAGTTAGCATAATGTTTCGGTCTGTTGGTTCAACCGACCTATCAATCATGATGCTCTTGTCCCCCATCCATGGGATAAGATGTTTTCCGTGCTCGTGGTAAATAGCCTTTTCGTCGTCTCGGAACAGTTTGCAGGCATAGCCGAAAACCAAGAGGTCCGCATATTTATCGCTGTCACTCACGTCCTTCTTCACAGGTTTGGTGTTGTGGTCTTTTTTTGCAGCTCCACGGCGATACATGGCGGAAATACATACAGATTTGATAATCTTACAGATTACTGGTAATTATATAGTAGATTTAGATAACCTAATGGCTAACAAACTGTCCAATTTTTGAAAATACGCAACGTTTTCGACAAGTTACCCAGTGAGGGTCGCCATGTTAGAATAAGTAAATGTCGCTTTAGTTTCTCGTCAGCACTTACCAGCATACACTCTTTGGGAAAATAAAAATTTTAAATAAAGAAAATGTAATTTTTAAGCTGTATTATTTTATATTATATGATATTTATCAAAATTATTTTGTTATGTGATTTTATTTTGTTTGTTTTTCGTAAAACATGTTTTCGTAATTTGTCGAATGTGCTGTTAACAGGGAGGGATTTACCGCAGTTTTAGTTGGGGGAGTGGGTAATGGGTTTTCTTTTTCTCTGATAAGAGCCGTTTCATATGACCCTGAAACTGTTCTTTAAATAAATAAACATTATATTATGTAGCTTATATACTTTTGTTATTCAAACCAAGTTTAAGTGTTTAATTAGTATGCCATTGCCCATACAGTACCTGCATACACGCATAGTCTGTATCATACGCTGAATGTTGTTGAGATTGTCAAAGTAATCATTTGGCAGCACGATGGAGAAGTGGACAGCTGTTGCCTCACAGCAAAAAGGTGCTTGGTCCAATCCCTGGTTTGGATATTGTGCCTTTCTGTGTGGTGTTTGTTCTCCTCATATTTCCTTGGGTTTTATCCAGGTTTCTCCTCCCACAGTCTAAAAACATGCATGTAGGTTACAGGCCCAAGTCTCTTGCGGAAGAGATCTGTGGCCTTAATAAGATTTGCTTGGTTAAATAAAGGTAAAATAAAAATGAAACACACAAAATATGCTATTTATTTTTGTATGCATGTATGTGTTTG